GGGGGGGGTTGACTCCCCAACAAAATCGTGATTGAAAGTTGAAATAGGATGTAAGCATCCGTTGCTGAGTATGAACACATTATTATTATTTTCAATATTGGATCAAATTAAATTAATTAACGAAACAAAAACCACGCGTTTTATTAACTGGTCAACTTTGGAGATGCAAAGACCAACACGACTCAAAGCACATACACAAACTATAGTGGCCTCAAATAAACACCAACACTTCCATTAAAAAAACACCAATACTCAACTTATACGGAAGGAATATGCACATCTTTCCTGATGCGGACATTAACATAAAAGATATGGTTCAAGTACAAAGTATGTTCATGTTACATCAAAAAAAAAGTATGTTCATGTAGAAAAAACATCATCTTTAATTAAGATATATAATAAATATTAAACCCCAATTTAATACCTTTGAGAACAACTCCCAGTGACAGTCCATTTTATTTTATATTTATATTTTATTTTATTTCACATTATTTCTTTCGCTTATTAATGTTCGAGAAGCGTTTGAAAAGCTATAGGCTGCTAACTGACAGCAATACAAACGCCTATATATTGCTCACCCATTGATTAGCTTACCTCTCACAGTACAACTCTCCTCCTCAGAAAAAAGCTAGGAGTAAGAGGGGAGTAAAGAATCATGAAGTTATCTAATTTTCTTCTCTATTTTCTGCCTTTGTTTATAATAATATCCCCATCTCATGCATCAAGAGCTACTCCCCCATCTCCTTCAACGTCCAAGATTAGAGCTGTGAATCTTGGAGGCTGGCTCGTCACTGAGGGCTGGATCAAGCCCAGCCTCTTCGATGGAATACCCAACGGGGATTTCTTGGTAAATTAAGTCCAAGAAAATTATGTTCAGTAAAATTAACAAATTGTTTTAGCCTTTAAAATGTAATGTAACTTATAATCTTGTTTCTGTTTGATTATGCTAGGATGGGACTCAGCTACAACTGAAATCAGTCACGCAAAATAAATATCTATGTGCGGAGAGTGGCGGCGGAACTATCATCGTCGCCAATCGATCATCTGCTTCTGGATGGGAGACATTCAAAGTAATTAATTTGTTATCATTTTTTTTTCCATATTTATAATGATTCTATGCATTAATATGTTTTCATATATAACTAATATGTGATGTTTTTCATTTTGTATTGTTCGTTATGACTAGTTATGGCGCATAACGGAGAACACTTTCCAATTTCGGGTTTTTAACGGTCAATTCATGGGACTCGATGGAGGAGGAACCGATGTAGTCGCAGTTTCGGACTCGTCAGATCCATCTGAGACATTTGAGATCATTAGGAATGCTAATGACTCGAGTCGGGTGCGGATCAAAGCACCAAATGGATCCTTCCTACAGGTGCTTGATTGGTCGCTGCCACTAATTAATATGTTTTTCGGTTAATTATAGTTTAATCATTATTCATGTTAGAATGTTATGTGATTATTGTGGTGATTAGGCGAAAACGGATGTACTAGTGACAGCTGATTATGGAGAGAGCACAAATTGGGGGAATGATGATCCATCTGTGTTCCTGATAAACATTGTGGGGAAAATGCAAGGGGAGTTTCAGATAACCAATGGTTATGGAACCGAGAAAGCTACACCGGTCTTGAGAGTACGTTTCTTATTTTGTTATTGTTAAATTTTATTTGCGTCTCAAGGAGCCTATAAAACTTACATGTTTTACAGTGTATAATTGGCTAAAAATAAATTAGCGGCAAAACAAGGAACTTTTTATCATATTATTAAAGGTCTAAATAAAGTTTTGAAATCGATCTTCTCGTTCAATCTTGCCCATTATCCCCTAATTACTCTTACAGTAACATCTACGAATACAATTCATACGTGTATGAGTTGGATAACAAATTATTAGTTGTGATTGTATTTTTTTGCTATTTATCTAATAGAAAGTATTGGACTTATAATTTTCATATAAAGGAAATACAAAAATAATACAGAATTAACTAGCATATGATTATTATTAAAAGAAAAGATGAAATTGTATTTCTTATCGGACTTCAACTAGTTGACCTTCTATGATCTCAACTTTTGACGAAACTTAGTGGTCAACTTAAAATGATGTGATTTTGTTAAAATTGACCTTCTATGATCTCAACTTTTGACGAAACTTAGTGGTCAACTTAAAATGATGTGATTTTGTTAAAATTGGCAAGTCAAATTTGGCTAACCTTTCGAAACTTAGTGGTCAACTTAAAATGATGTGATTTTGTTAAAATTGGCAAGTCAAATTTGGCTAACCTTTGACATTGGTGTTGCCTTGAATAGTCAACTCTACAAAATGTGTTGAATAGTCAACTTTACATTGATACAGGAGCATTGGAACAGCTTCATAGTGGAAGAAGACTTTAACTTTATATCTCAGAATGGGTTGAATGCAGTGAGGATCCCAGTTGGATGGTGGACCGCCATTAATCCTACTCCATGGCCCTTTGTTGAGGGTTCATTGCAAATTTTGGACCGCGCCTTCTCATGGGCAGAGTAAGTATATTAGTCTCTAAAGGTTTTCTTCCTCTCTCTTTTTACACTCACCATATATAGATTATATAGTAAGGAGCATATGTGCAAGATTTACGTTAAGAGTAAAGGGTTGAAACTCTCAACTTTCATTAAAACCCTGGTGCAAAGGAGGGGACTTTAAAATGGAATCAGAAGAATTCAATTTCAAATTCAGTTGAACACATTTTGGTTTTTCTAAAATACTAGTTTGCGGTCCGTGCAAAGCACGGTATTTTTTTTTGCTACAGTAATCCCGTTTTTTAATATGGGACGATTTGAATTTTTGAAAGTGCTACAGTATCCCGTTCTGCTACAGTACCTTTTAAATGCTACAGTATACCCGTGTGCCACAGTACTATTTTTAACTAATTATCAGCTGCAGTAATAATGCCACAGTAAATGCTACTGTAGCATTTACTGTAGCATGAACAGTGAATCTCTGATCCTCCTATTTGTATAAAGGAATAGATATCATTGCATAAAATAACTCAGATTTAAACTCATGAAAAAAAAATGTTAACCTACATAAGCATGTTAGAACATAAAATTATAATCCTCAAACTTTTACATTTGCTTATGAGAAGAAAAAAAAATGAAATATTGCTTTATGGTCCCTAGATTTTAACATTATTTAAAAAATAAACATGTAACATTTATGGGAGCATGTTTAAAAGATTGCAAACATTTAGAGAATTTTGTGGCACGACCAAAGTTGTTAGTGTTAAATGACATTTTTAAACTTCAAGGGGGTTCTCAAAATGGGATAAGATATGGGGGGTTATATGAAATTTATACTAAGTTATTTTTTTTTAAATTGACCTCTATATTCATGCAATTTGCAGAAAATATGACCTCAAAGTCATCATCGATCTCCACGCTGCTCCAGGATCACAAAATGGGTATGAACACAGTGCATCAAGAGACGGCTCACAAGAATGGGGCACTAACGATACGATAGCTCAAACTATCACAGTGATAGATTTCCTCACCAACAGGTAACCGTTAATTCATTAATCCCACACTAGATAAGATTAATTGAGATGCATTATATGTCGTATGATGTTTAAACTTACTATTCCTCTAGCCTTATTTGTTTAGATAGACTCTTTTGAGCAATGGCAAATCTAGAAAATTTTAATTTTGGAGACAGATAACAAGTATTCATTTACTAAAAAAGAAGAATATAATATTATAAAACTATAGTACCCAATGAGAAGGCACTTGGTATACTTTATTCGCTTCGGTGAGCCTATTTGACTTTGATCGCTGAAAAGTTAAACGAGTTTTTACTCTCTAATGAGCTAATTTAATTGGCTACTAACTTATTTTAGTATTTCCAGATAGGTTAGGATGGAATTTTTGAAATTTATGGGAGGGACAGACTTTAAATGCTACAAGGCATATATGTGATTCTTAAAATTTCCCCGAGTGTAATTGGACCCCTAGATGAAATTATAAATTTATAATCTGCCACTGTTATTGAGTGATTTTTTTTTTCTTCTTGACTCTTTTACCCTTAGAGGTCGACTCTGTGGGTAAACAAGTCAAAAAATTTCACTCAAGAGAGTCTATTTGCAAAGACAAAACTTAGAGGGCTAGTAAGCTCAAAACAGGGGGTCTATATGCAATTAACTATACCAGATGTCTATGTTGGACTTATTATGGGCATTACAATTGCTATTTACATTTTTTTAGGTACGCAAAGAGCCCCAGTTTTCTAGCAATGGAGCTACTCAACGAGCCTCGAGCACCCGGAGCCACGTTAGATACCTTGAAGAAATACTACCAAGATGCGTATAATACGGTTCGCAAGTACACAATCGATGCGTACGTGATCATGTGCAATCGCCTCTCTGCGAGCCCAACGGAGTTGCTTCAATTTGCTAGCGGCTTACAGGGCTCCGTAGTTGACGTGCATTATTATAATCTCTATACGAGCAATTTCAATGGACTTAATGTTCAACAAAACATCGATTATTTGAACAACAATCGTTCTGCAGAATTAAGCACAGTTGATTCATCCAACGGCAGCCCTCTCGTTTTAGTTGGTATGTACAAAAATTCAAATTGTTTAATGTGTTAATTAGTAAGTGCAAATAGACCTCTCGTAGTATTGTTGTTTTGAGCTTACTGCCGAGCTTATAATTTTAGCTTAGCTAGCAGATAGACCATTTGAGTTCAATGTCTGATTTTTTTTTTAATCTTGGGTGAACTTTTGATTGATATTACCATTGAGTTAAATGATATATATCGAGTCTATATATCTAAGGGTAAATAGTCAAAAGTTGACCATGAGGATCTTTGGATCTACCTTCTAAAATGAAACTACATGAGTAGCAACTTCAAAAATGATGTCTCATAGTCTATGTGCAACTAACCCTTGTTTAGTTTGGATCAATGATAATAATATGAAGTTTGATTACTATATTGCTTTGTGATTTTAGGTGAATGGGTGGCAGAGTGGGAAGTGAACGATGCGACGAAGGAGGATTATCAGAGATTTGCAGCAGCGGAGTTGAATGTATTTGGGCGGGCTAGTTTTGGATGGGCTTATTGGACCCTAAAGAATGTACAGAATCATTGGAGCTTAGAGTGGATGATTACTAATGGATACATTAAAATCACTTCATAGACAACATTTGGATGGGTAGAATTGATGGTTAATAGGACTAACCATGGATAAAATGGGTTTATGTAATCTTCATGAATAAATACAATATTCTAATTGCAATAAATTTCCGTTTACTTAGAATTAATGATATTAAATATATTATATTAAAAGGAGGAAGTTGAACTGTGTAGATTGGGAAGAAAAGTGATCTCAGTCAAACTCTATAAAGATTGTACTATTTTAAAGCACTAGCAATAAGATAGTGTGGTATTAGATAACCTGGTGTTTGGGTCAAAAGTTAATGTTTTCATTGCCTTGAATCTATTATAACTTTGGTCGTTATAATAAACTCAAATAAACGAGAAAAGTAGATCTTTTTATAAGATCGACATATACAATAAAAATGTAAAATAGTATAACTCTTGTCAAACAGTGTAACGGACGTTTATCACCCGCTGCTTGCGTGGGAACTTCGCCTGTGCCGGTGACGTTAATATCCGTGGACCGTCGCGGATCAGATCCGGTTGACAGATTAAGTTAATCAAAGCTCTTACTTCATGAAGGAAGTAATCGCTGCAGCGGTAATCCCGACCAAGCGAGATTACAGCTCTTCTCGAGATTAAGACTAAGCTTAAATCCTGAAGAATACGGGACGGGTTTCATATCTCTCGAACTCTACTTTTTATGCACAGGAATTCGCTAAGATCTGCCAACCCTCGATGTAAATTCGTGGCTCCACTTTTCAATTCGACAGCGTTTCGCCCTCTTGATCTCTGCCCCTGTGAAATGAGCCCCTAGGCCTGTATTTATAGGCTTCGGTTGGGGGGTATTTGGATAAGAATGAGTGATTTGACCTTATCTTTAGTTAATAACGGTCTAACTATATTTGTGGATGATATCAAGTCAGTTGGGAACCCCTGGAATGGATAAATCTTACGAAAACCGCTTAAAAATCGTCGAAAACGAGTTTGGGAATAAAATCTGCGCGACGGGCACTGGTGACCCGCGGGGGGCGCGGGTCTGCGCGGGCTGGACCCACCTCACACGAGGTGCGCGGCGTTGGTTCGGTACTTGGGCATTCGTTCCGTCTTTTCGTTTTGTGTATTCGGTCGTCTTGTTAACCTGTACGCTTCGCTAACTTGCTTCATGCACACGTTAGCTTCTTTACAGATATCGGAGCTGACCGACGAGGAGGGTAATATATATATATATATATAATATATATTATATATATATATATATAATATATATATGCCCCTCCTCGTCCAGATCCCCTCACTCGAGTTCCCCCTTCACGCCGCCATCCACGATCCCTCGACCAGATCTACTCCACCCCCTACTCTCCTCCGCTTGCAATCACCATCGGACTCGCGCTCCCGCCTCTCTTGCGCTCGCCTCCGAACCCCTTCACCTCGAGTTCCCCTTCACGCCGAGCTCAACCCTAAGCCGGCACCATCCACGATCTCTCGAGTTCATCTCAACGCGCCCCTCGACTAGACTCAGCGTCCCCCCTTGCCGCCCTCCCTTGCCCATGATTTCTCACTTTGTCGCCGCCGCTCCCTGAATCCTCGCTCGCGAAATTCACCACTTCCCAGCTCCCATAAATTGAGTTCATCGTATGTGTTTCATGTATTTCTAATGTAATAGTTCATTTTTTTATTAATGTCATTTTCAATATCATAATTATTTTTTCAGATGGATGCAATTATGTGTTTTTTGAATCGTGTGTACATTAAGCTTGCGAGTTGATAATGTGATTATATGGATTAAACATGTGTTTCGGTATAATGTGATAGTTTGAGCCAAAGTTATGTACGTATGGATGCAATTAGGTGTTCTTTGAACTGTGTGTACATTAAGTTTGTGAGTTGATAATGTGGTTGTATGGATTAATCATGTGTTTCAGTATAATGTGATAATTTGAACTAAACTTGAATAAGAATTTACAAAAAAAAAATTACAGAATCGCGTTATCATTGGTGGGACCACCCCCAGCATTATTGTTTTTAGTGGGAACACTCCCTGCGTTCTGGTCAACGGGAGGGTCATCAGCAATGATATATTCATCCACGTCTGAATCGCTAATTGCTTGGCTAACATTGTTGCGACGACCGGATTCACCTAGCTGATTCGACAAGGCTCGGATCTGTTGGTCATGCTCTTCCCTCATCCGCAACATAGCCATTTCCATTTCGAATTTAAATGCTTGCTTCTGCTTGGCTAGAGCATCCTCAACCATTTTAGTTGCTTCTTCGGTGTTAATCATAAACACTTCGCAGGATTGCCCTGGGCTAGATACCGTATTGTCAGAAGCGACTGCAGAGTTAGCATCCGATGCTTCATCGTCCGAGGATAACCCTCTCTGTATTCTTTGGTAGTCCCTGCGTCTAGTGGTCCCTGATCGCAACCGGGTTAGACGATGAGATATAAGTGGGTCAGAGCTAGAAGGTCGAATTGACTTTCCCTTATCAGCCATATTTATTGTGACTTCCGGGAGTTCGTCACCTTGAACAATCGATCGCTTTTTACGGAGACGCTTTGGTTTGGACTTAGTCATTCCGTTAGAGATCCTCTCGGATACCGAGACCCTCTGCGGAGCGGTCTTGGGGCAACTGCACGCTGATAATACTGCCCTGATTAGTTCGGCGCACGAGCAGTGAGATTTGGTTTCTCGGGCATATCTCTTCCGAGACTCGTTCATACCCTCAGCCCGATAGTACAACTCATCGGTCAGATGACCAGAGAAACCTATCGTGTGTTGACATGACTCCCCTGGTATAATGTTGTCATCGTCAGATGAATACGTTTCTTTCAGGGGATTTGCCGCTTTATTAGCATTCTTAAGAGTCACGTGTTTAGAACTACGCTTTTGGGAGCGCAGGATCTCAACAGGCTCTTGGTTTTGGATACACACCCCCAAGCGGGTGGAAATTGGAGTTTTCCCTTTATGAGAAGGCTTGAAATTGGTGTGAGGGCATGTGCGACCCCCAGCTCGACAAGTCGCTCAGGGTTCAGTCACCGGACCCAAGCGTTCTTCGATCAGAACTTTGCCTCGATCCTCGTGCAAAGGACCCAGGCGATCGACTATCCTCACCTTGAATCGGGACAAATCCACGCTGTCACGGTGCCCCACCGGAGGTACGGAACTCGAAGGGATCGACGAAACATGTGCATAACGTCTTCTGTTTTTACCCTGGCGCGGGTCAGACTTGAGTGACCCGCGGGTTAGAGGGTCGGATCCAGGTGACCCGCAAAGTGGAGGGTCGGATTTGGGTGACCCGCAAAGTGGAGGGTCGGACCCAAGTGACCCGCAATTTGGAGGGTCGGATTTGGGCGACCTGCAGATTGGCCGGTCGGATTTGAGTGACCTGCAGATTGGCGGGGCGGATTTGAGTGACCCACGATTCGGCGGGTCGGATTTAAGTGACCCGCAGACCGGCGGGTCGGATTTGAGTGACCCGCATTTTTCGATCTTTTCGGCCGCCGTCTTGGACTTTGGCCTCCAAAAGTGACCCGCGATTCTCGATCTTTTCGGCCGCCGTTTTGGATTTTGGCCTCCAAGTTTGATGCAGTCTTGGTTGTTTCTTAGCTATGTCCTTCTTCTGCATCTTTTGTGCTTTTTGCACAAGAATTCGCGTGCGCGCAAGCGCGCAGCGCTTTTGAATTCGCTCCTCCAGAGTTGAACGGATCTTTTTGATTTGGATCCATTCATTTGCTATTGGTTTGGAGGGGAGGACATCTGTCCGCTGTTGGGGCGCTTGACGTTGCCTAATTTTCAGATCCGCCTCGTAACGGATCCCGTCAATTGACTCCAAAGCCCCAACGAGTTGGCGTGCAAGGCGTTGGCGCTGCCTTTGGCGAGCTCTCTTCGATAGAGTGGGCGCGCCTTCTGTACTCAACCCCTTGATTGAGGAGGAGTTCAGGTCTGCAGATCCAGACTCGTCGGAGGACAGAAGGGCGTTGCAAGGTTCAGCTACCGCAGCAACGGGGGCGTTGATCTTCCTTTGCTTGCGAGAGGCAGAGGATCTGGAGGAGGAGGACGACAGATACTCCTCGAACTTCAGTTGGTCGAACTCGTATTCGACCACTTCTTCAACCGGGATATAGATCCGAGGTTGCGACATGACAGCTCCGGCAGCGAAGCTGCAGTCTCCCACTGTGGTCGCCAGTTTGTTTGCGTCGAAAATTGATGTATTCATTGCGGTATTCATTACAACTTCAATCGTTACAATGAAAACAAAAAAAGATTGTCTTTTTATAAGACTTTTACACAATGAAAACAAAAGTTTACAACTCTCGTCAAAACAAACGCAGAGATCGTTTATCGGTCTTCTGCTTGCGTGGGATCTTTGCCTGTGCCGGGGTTTATCCGTGGACCGCCTTAGATCTGGATCCGGTTGATGGAAAATTCGGCAGAGATTCGCCTTCGCCGAGGAAGTATTTAATTTGAAGTGCTGAAATCGACCAAGCGAAATCAGGGCTCTTCTCGAGATTAAGAACAAGCCTAATCTCAAGGGACGGACGGACGAGGTTCAGATCCTTCGAATAGCTCCTTCTTTATGCTGAAGTTCGCCGGGATCTGATTTGCCTTCGCTAAAATTCGTGCTCCTTGACTCCTCAATCCAGCAGCACATCCACGTCTTGATAATAACTCTGCCCTTGAGAAATGAACACCCGAGCTCGTATTTATAAGCTTCGGAAGTGGTTATTTGGATGAGAACAAGTGATTTGGCTCTATCTTCAGTTAATAACTGATTAACCACGTTTGGGGATGATATCTAGGCAGTTATGAACCTCTGGAACAGAAGAAACCGATCGAAACAGCCTAAAAATGCGTTTTGGAGGTTACAGGCAGTTCTGGACGCGAGACGGACCGATGTGACCCGCGTGGGCGCGGGTCGGACTGATCCGACCCGCCGCCGCGCGGGTCGGACTGATCCGACCCGCCGCTGCGCGGGTCAGTTTGAGATATCTTTCCGCCCCGCCGCTGCGCGGGTCAGTTTGAAACATCTTCGGTATTTTGGGCTTAACTCTTTCGTACGACCTCCGATTAAGCTGATTCAAAATGCGTTGGAAAGCTGACGAAGAGATCTACAACTTTCATGTTTTAAGATTTTTCAGATTCAAATCTTAGCATAGTCAAAACTTTACTTCTTTGTACGATCAGATCACTGTAGCGCGTCCGACCCG